GCGAACAGTTCGTCATGATTCGTCACGAATGGTTCGTCACTATTCGCCACGAACGGTTCGCCGCGGACTCATCATTGAGTAAACTTTGACCCTGTACCTCACAGTCAGCAGACACATTCCAGCCAATCAGCAGCAGACCCTCCCTCCCAGACCCTCCTACCTCCTGGACAGCATCCATTGTGAAGCTGCATTCTTAGTGAGCTGTCCAGGAGGTGGGAGGGTCTGGGAGGGAGGGTCTGCTGCTGATTGGCTGGAATGTGTCTGCTGACTGTGAGGTACAGGGTCAAAGTTTACTCAATGATGAGTCCGCGGTGAAACGTTCGTGGCGAACCGTTTGCGAACCGTTCGGCGAACAGTTCAGGACATCACTATTCTACACCCATATCTACCTTTGCCACAACCAGCACCGGGCACTACAAAAGTCTTCTTTTTGTGCTCTGTGAATAGAGCCGCAAACCGAGGACTGTCAAGCATACTGCCGAAAAGTGACATAAAGCACAGCCACCAAGTGTTGCCTAGAAACTGCAAAGTTGTTTTAAAAGAGAAAAAAATCGGAGTAAAATTAAAAGCATGTATTTCCATTTCATACACTATCGTACATCTCACACATTTGACTTCTTTGCAATTCTCCACACATTCACTGAGCTTTTTTTCATTTGTCTCAAATTTTTTTTTTTCTTCTCTTTATTCAGCATGCATACACACATTAACCTGTTCTGGTTAACCTTTGGCTAACCCGTTTTCATTCATACTGCTGTCTTTAACATTCCACACTCCATACATTTAAGACCATGTAATCAGACTTTATTTCTTTCTCCTCCATACATGCTTTTAATTTTACTCCGATTTTTTTCTCTTTTAAAACAAAGTTGCCGTTTCTAGGCAACACTTGGTGGCTGTGCTTTATGTCACTTTTCAGCAGTATGCTTGACAGTCCTCGGTTTGCGGCTCTATTCACAGAGCAGACCGGACAAACAGGGTGCACTTGGTGATTGGGTAAGTTTAACACATTAGATTGTATTTTCACGTCATAGCATCTTGATAAAGACCGCTAGACGGTCGAAACGTTGATTTATATGCGATTGATTTAATATTTTTTTTTGTTTACTAAATCCAATGAGTGCTCTCAATTTGTTCCATTTATATATATATATATATATATATAAATATATAAATACCGTATTTATCGGCGTATAACACGCACCGGCGTATAACATGCACCTCATTTTAAGAGGGAAATTTAAGGGAAAAAAAACTTAAAGGACCACTATAGTGCCAGGAAAACATACTCGTTTTCCTGGCACTATAGTGCCCTGAGGGTGCCCCCACCCTCAGGGACCCCCTCCCGCCAGGCTCTGGAGAGAGGAAGGGGTTAAACACTTACCTTTCTCCAGCACCGGGCGGGGAGCTGTACTCCTCCTCTCCTCCTTGCTCGCGACGTCATTGGCTGGAGCATGCGTGCACATTCAGCCGGTCGCATAGGAAAGCATTTACAATGCTTTCCTATGGACGCTTGCGTGCTCTCACTGTGATTTTCACAGTGAGAAGCACGCAAGCGCCTCTAGCGGCTGTCAATGAGACAGCCACTAGAGGCTCTGAAGGCTGGATTAACCCTCAGTATAAACATAGCAGTTTCTCTGAAACTGCTATGTTTATTAAAAAAAGGGTTAATCCTAGAGGGACCTGGCACCCAGACCACTTCATAAAGCTGAAGTGGTCTGGGTGCCTAGAGTGGTCCTTTAAATTTCAAATAAAGAACTTTTTTCCCCTTCCCCCTCTTACCCCCTTCTTACTCCCCCTCTTCTTCTTACCCCCCTTTCTTACTCCCCCCTCCCCTTCTTCTTACTCCCCCTACCCTTCTTACCCCTTCTTACTCCCCCTCTTCTTTACTTTCTTACTCCCCCTCCCCCCTCTTCTTGCCCCCCTCCCCTCTTACCCTTTCTTACTCCCCCTCTTCTTACTCCCCCCCTCCCTCTTCTTTCCCCCCCTCCCTCTTCTTGCTCCCCCATCCCCCTCTTCTTACCCCCTCCCCTTTCTTGCTCCCCCCTCTTCTTGCCCCCCTCCCCCTTTCCTCCCCCCCCTCTTCTTACCCCCCTCCCCCTTTCTTTACTCCCCCCTCTTCTTGCACCCCCTCCCCTCTCTTGCCACCCCTCCCCTCCCCTCATCTTACCTCCCCTCCCCTTTCTTACTCCCCCTCCCCCTCTCTTATTCCCTCCCCCTTCTTACTCCCCTCCTCTTCTTACCCCCCTCCCCCTCTATTCACCCCCTTCTTACCCCCTCCCCTGTAGCGTGGCCGAGCCGCTCTGCTGTCCGCGGTGCCCGGCCGGAGTGATAGGAAGGTGCACGCTCAGTGTGCACCTTCCTGTCAGACCGACCAGGTACAGGAAACAGAAACTCCTGTTCAGCAGAGCGGCTCGGCCACGCTACAGGGGAGGTGAGTACCAACTGCAGCCGCCTGAGCGCTCTGTCCGCACCCACAATTTCTCCCCTATTTTCAGGGAGAAAAAGTGCGTGTTATACGCCTATAAATACGGTATATTAAGTGTTTTTTTTATATGGTCGCAAATTAGGTCGCATTTGCAACAGCCTATACTTGCTTACTGAAGGGCAGAGACAGGGGAACGCAACCGGAGTGGGACTCACACACGCAGATAATTAGAAAAGGACGCATAGGAGCCAATCAGGGGACTAACTCTCATGACTGCAAATCCTATAGCCCAGTGCAGGGAATACGCCGAACGAGCATCTCACAAGACACCCATGACAGGGAGAGGCCAACGCGATTATCTACCATCCACATTCAGTATGAAAATATATTCCGATAATGTACAGGGCCTGAATATACCCTACAAACGACATGTCTTAGATAGGGAACTCAAAAAGCAGATATAGTATACTTGCAGGAAACACACTTCAGAACAGACGCGCATCCACAACTGGGTTCCCGCTTATACCCCAACTACACCACAGAAATCTAAAGGGGTCTCCATACCCCTCAGCAAGGACCTCATGGTGACCTCGCACAACCACATACTAGACCTGGGGGTCTATACATCATTTGGCAAGGCACCATAAACGATTCAGAATACACACTGGTAAATGTATATTCCCCAAACACCAACCAGAGGAACTTCCTACACAGGGTTCTCACCAAAACTGAAAAGGTGAAGAAAGGCACCTTCCTAGTGTATGGGGACTTTAACCACATCTTTGACCCAACAATGGACTGCACTAGGCCTTCCTCCTCCCCACAAAACAAAGCAAAGCCCTTAGAATACTAGTGTCAACTTTCGGACTCCGAGACGTGTGAAGAGCCCTCCACCCAAGGGAAAGAGTATACACACACCACTCGAAAGTCCACAACATGTCCTCTAGAATCGATGGGTATCTTATGCACGAATCCACTATGACCAGAATACTAGACTGCAACATCACAACCATTAACTGGTCGGATCACGCACCAGTAACACTGTCGATCACAAACACATATGAATACAAACTCAGAAACCCATGGGGCCTCAATGAGAGCCTGCTAAAAGACACACAGTTTTGTGCACTTCTAGAGAAGCCATTACTTTACTACAAACACCACATCTGTCCAAAACCCCCACATGCTTTGGTTGGCACACAAGGCAGTGGTGAGAGGCACACTAATAAGCAGAACTTCATATATTAAGAAGCAATCCGAAAAAGAATTGACACAATGCAGACAGTTGTTAGATACACTACACAGGGAAAACCAAACGCAACCCTCAGTAGAACACAAGAAGCAAATAGCGGACCTGCAAGATAAACTAAGCGAGATCCGACTACATAACTTTGGTTTCATGCTAAAAAGACTAAAACCACACACCTACGTACAGGGCAACAAGGCAAGCAAGCTCCTAGCCCAAAGACTAAGGGACAGACAACAACAAACACGCATAGCTCACATAGTAAATAAAGACGGATAAAAACTACACCTACCCGCAGAGATATGCGGGGAGTTCGCACACTACTACAGCTAGCTCTAAAACCCAAAAGATGACCCAAACACCCTAAAACCCTTAGCCGCAATTATAAAGACCTACCTAGCGGAGATTCCCTGACCGAAACCCAAAAGCTAATCCTAGCAGCATCCATAACGGAGAATGAAATAATGGACTGCATTGACTCCTTACCCACAGGGAAGGCCCGGGCCCCCGACGGGTACACAAATGCATACTACGCAAAATTCAAACTCCTTATAGCCCCTTACCTCACCACAACATTTAACCATGCGCTACGTCCAGGGGCTTTCCCTTCAGAATTCCTGGCAGCAAGGGTAATAACCCTCCAAAAAACCGGGCAAAACGCCAATGCACTGCCAGAACTTCCGCCCAATATCACTACTGAACTCAGATACCAAATTATATGCCAAAATTCTGGCCACCCATATTAAGACCAATCATTTGAGATGACCAGGTGGGCTTTGTGCAAGGGAGACAGGGATCAGACTACACACGGAAGGTAGTGGACATTTTACAAACAATACACATGGACCGGACACAGTGTCTTAAAATCTCCCTTGACACAGAGAAAGCATTTGACAGACTGAACTTTTCCTAGACGCTGTCCTTTCGAAATTTGACTTCCCGTATGTGTATATAACTGCTATTAAGGCCCTGTACAGCCTCCCGAACGCCTCGGTATCAACATCAGGGTTCCAGTCCGCCCCATTCACCATTTCCAATGGCACTCGTCAGGGCTGCCCCCTGTCACCACTCCTTTATGTATTTGCTCTAGAACCGCTAGCAGAAGCGATTAGACGCAACCCCAAAATACATGGCATATTGATAGGGGTCCGTGACTACAAAATCAACCTGTTCGCGGACGATGTCCTGCTAACCCTATCCCAACCAACTATATCACTTCCCAACCTTCAAAAATAACTACGAAATTATAGCGCACAATCTTACTATAAACTCAATGTTACAAAAATTCAAGCGATGGGAATAGGAATTGAGGGCGACACCATGGAACAACTCCGGAAGGCGTTTATCTATGACTGGAGACAGGATTACCTTACCTTTCTTGGCATTAGACTGACAAAATCACACAATTCTCTCTTTGCAATGAACTACCATAAATTGCACACAGAGATAGAAAACACATTAAAGACATGGGAAGGGAAATACATGTCATGGGTAGGCCGTTGTGCAGCTATCAAACTGGTGATATTGCCAAAAATTCTATACTTGTTCCGCACACTACAAATAAGTGTCCCTTCCAAATTCCTCAAGGTC